CGTAGTAACATACCCTACAGTACAACGGCACCCACATCATACGCTGTGAGGTGTGGCTCAGAAAGTCAACAGACAATGCTCCTGGCAGTTATCGATCCAGTCCGGGGATGGTAAGAAGGGCTCTAGTGCACCCAGTGTCCATCCACATCCAATGGCGCTGGTTTAGAGGGATGGGTGCTTCTCATGAAGGTGAAGGGGACCTCTGCTCAGGGCTCAATTAGACACTGAAATGCTGGCTCTGATACGGGAGCTTCTAATAAAGAGAGATCGAATTGCAAAGAGAAGACAACTGGCCAGAATGACTTCTTTCAAATAAACCTCGTGTCAGCAGTAACTGAGAGCCACATGCTAATGTGGCAGCTAACAGCTATACACTTGGCAGATCAGAGTGAACGGCGTCTGGAAACACTAATGACCTGCGTTTAGAGCCCAAGTTAATATTACTCTAGGGATCCTGCTGCAGCTCTTCTTATTTAAAACGTTATCTAATGCGCGAGAAGAGGATGTGCATGCCAATCGCAGCCTCATTAGCTTTCCGAGCCGGTTAGCAGGAGCTTAGCCCGGGCCTTCCAGAGTCCAAGCCCCCTGAGCCCTTTGTACACATGGTCTCTCTTCTAAAGTGTAAGCTGATCACCATTTCTCCGAGGAATCATCGGCGAGGAATGGGGAAAGGGACATTTCACGAAGGCTAGCACTTTTCCTCATGCTTTCTAGAGACACCACTGACATCAGCCCTCCCTTGGGTTTACTTAACTGTCTGCCGAACTCTCTGCCGTTATCTGTCAGAGAAGCAGTGTTTCCTAGTAAACGCCTACTTTTAACAGAGACACGTCCTTGCCCATTAACCTTTTATAACAATAACTCTTTACTAGTCTTTTGTGATTTCAACTCTGGATGCCATTCTAAGACCTTCGATAGTCTTTCCTGGAACAAAAGGCAGCTCAGCCCAGTGACATGTAGCACTATGTCCCCCGGAGTGTCCTGTACATCGCTGGACCCATCACGGGGCCAGCAGCTGGCCACGGATTTGGTTGTAGGGTTCCATTCCTGCTGTTTTCTGTATCTAAGTAGCCTACATGCTTCCCGAGCTCCTAAACTGTGAGCTGTCGGTCTGCTGGGAGGGGAGGGAGACGTGAACAGACAGCCCAATGGTGACTGCTGACACATGCCAACCTCAACCCCTGTGCACTGCCCTTCAACGTAAGACGCTGGAAAGGAAGATTCTGTGGAACAACTGAGGCTGTTCATCCGAAATGTCACTTATTAACAGCTGCCGACTGATTTTAGATGGATGAGAACTCACCTGAGAAGATTCTCAACACCCCTTTTCAACTACAAGCCGTTAGGAGAAGAATCTTCTTTGGATCAATTAATGTTTTATTTTGAATCTACACTGAGTGTCATTATAGGGTCAGGAAATAGGAAAACACATTTTCTACAAAAGAAGGCCAGAGATTTCAGTTTTTTGCTGCAATGTTGAGAAAAACTTCTAGAACTTACTTTATGCCCAATCCTTAATAACCTACCTGTAGGCATATTAGTAATCACCTGTCCCTCTGCTGCTTTGGTAATAAGGCTTGGTTCTCTACTTTTCAAATTCTGTTCATATTTTTTAAATAAAATACTGAACTCTGATTGGTCATAAGCAATTCTAAAATGATGTATCAGGTTGTCAGGGCTCAGACTACTCCATCTCAGAGACCTTGGGAAAATCTTCCCTTACAAACATACACGATGAACACAAATGCAGTAGTTGGTAGGAAGCATGCACACAGACTCACTCCAAAGGCAAAGGACACGGCTCGTGAAGCAGGCTTGCAGGACAGAAGCCTATCGTTGTCTGCTGTCTGTGTGACCCCAGAACTGGGTCTCGCTCGGCTTCCAGTTCTCAGCTCTGACACGGAGACCCTCTACAGACTCCACACGGTGGAGACACACATGGGCACAGAGCAGTGGACTAAAGGAGAGCACCTGGGGTGGGATCTGCTCTCCCCGCTGGGCACGGATGTCCGTGCGCTGTCACTCTGTCATGCCAATGTCAGAGCGACTGTTCACAGGAGCGGTGCCTGGATCTCTACTCTTCTTTCCAAGATCACAGAATTCTGCTTCTCTACCACAGTGTAAAAGGATAGATGCCAGGGGTGTGAGGCTTAATGATGGCATCTTAAATTCGACTGAAACTACACAGTTAACACTCTTGGTTCTGTGAAATAGCCTCATGTTCCATTTCAGAGCAAAAGCCGTGATAGGCCTCGCAGAACAGTTTGACAAGCGAGGCCTGCCCACCTTCCTCCTCCCCCACTTTCAGTGTATCTGCATGTAGTGTGCACGTGTTTGCACACATGTAGACTTGTGTGCGTGGAGGCCAGAGGTTGATGTTAGGTGTTCTCCTTGGCCATTGTACACCTTATTTGCTGATACGGTCTCTTGATAACCCTGAAGCTGGCAGATTTGGGTAGTCTAGCTCGCCAGTGTGCCACGGGAAACCATCTCCACCTCCTGAGTGCTACAATTACAGGGGCGCTTGGTTTGGGATTACAAGCGGGCTGCTATGCTCTCTTGCACTCTAGTTGGGATCTGGGGCACTCCAGCCCCATGCTTGGGAAGCAGGCCCTTTACCCTGAGCCATCCTGCCAGCCCCTGATTTGCTGCAAGTTTTGTTTAACCATGGACATAGTAACCCTTACTAACAACAGATTTTGTACACATGCGGTCATTCCAAAGTTTCTGCTTAGCCGAGCCAGAATTAACTATCAGACCACACTAGTAGGTGGAACCAGATGGAAAGCTTCTAATTGTAATGCTCATCTTCTAAAGCAAGCATCACACAGAGGCGCCCTGGCAGAAAGCTGAAGTACCCCGTCCCTGAGTCTCAGGTTTCAATGAAAGACAGAAAATGGAAAAGCTATGGGGGTGCACGTGTTTGGATGTAAGTACAATGTGGTACTAAACACACAGTGCTTCCTCCCAGAACCCGTTCATCTTCAAGGCTCGCTAAGCAAGCGGACAGCACACAGGCAACCAGGCAGCTGGGCAGCCTCATTTGTACCTTTAAATCTTCAGTCAGGAAGGAAATGACACCAGTTGTCACTAGACAGGAGTCCATAAATTGTAAGGTTACACAAGCCTTACAGATTATGATTTCCCATGGTTGAATCAGCATTGTATCTTAATCAACTCAGAGCTTTACATTTTCAGACTGAATACTGGCACAGGACAGCCTTTTATGTATCGGAACGCTGGAGGAGACAGTTTATTTTACGTGGGGATAATGATATTTTAACTGCGTTCGATGAGGGGACATTGGGAACCTTGCCTCGAAAGCCATTAGCAAATTTATCTACAAGCTTTTATGCTTCCTCAGAAACCCACCAGCAACTGAAGACATCCTCACCGCTCAGTGTGCCCATCTGCCCCAGCCGCTTGCCTGCCACGGGAGCTCTTCCCAGAGCCAGCACCGAGAGCGAGCTGCTTGAGGGTAAGGCAGCGAGAGCTGAAGGGGAGGCCGCCACAAACGCAGCCAAAACGCTTGAGCCAGGCACATTCCGGTGAGGAGAAAAAACAGCTCTGCTGAAGGAGTATGACTTTTAGCTTCTCAACTAAGCCTAGCAATTCAAGACGTTTGATGGATGGCTTTTCCTGACCTTGTCAAGTTAGTCATTCAAACCCGAAACCAGTCAGCCGCCATCTCTCTCCCTCCCCCCAGGGAAAGTTCTTTAAAATGACACGAGTCCATGTGAACAGGTGACTCAGGGATTTGAGTCCTTTTTGTAATCTGCCCTGGAACTATGTCTAACCATCTGCTCAGGTCAATCTGTGCCTCTTTCTCTGGTCAGAGACAACAAAATAAACTTCATAGATAATGGAAATTTCACATGTCCAGGAAAGCATCTGAGCCTAGGCCTATAGTCTATAACCTTGCAGAGAAGGACATGTCATGGCACCTGGGGAGGGAATTATTCTGTTTTCTCCAAATTCTGTTATTTTAAAATAAAGATAGTAAAAGTCTTCATTAGTGAGCTGAGTCTGTCAATTACACTATAACTGAAATTACAGTAGGTAAAAAAAATGACACTTTGAGATCTTCCTTCTTGACACAAAATACTTCTTTTATTCTCTGCTCACTATTTCCTGTGTTCAGCTTCTAAAATACCTAACAAACTTAAAACTCAACTGTTTGGACCAATGTTATCTTGCCTTAGGCCAGGCATGGTGGCACACGTCTTTAATCCCAGCTCTTGGAAGGTGGAGGCAGGTGGATCACTGTGAGTTTGCGGACAGCCTCATTTACATAGTGAGTTCCAGGCCAGCCAAGACTGTTACAAAGTGAGACGCTGTCTCAAAAATAAATAAACAAACAGACAAACAAACATATAAATAAACGGTTGGCCCACTGCTCTCTCCAACTATGTTACAGATTTCATCTGTCTTCCCCACCTTGTAAGGAAATGTGACTCTTCACACTAAAGAGGGTTGTGAAGAGCCTGCTGTTAGCCAGCCTCTCCTAGACAGCAGCTCTAGCTAGCAGCCCACACATCAGCGTCCACATTTATTTGTAAAATGCACAGTCCTTGCTTCTGCTTATGAATCACTGAGAAGCTCCGCTGTGGGGTCCAGGAACCTGCATTTTCAGACTCAAAGTCCTATAGCTCAAAATGGAGGCTCCCTATTAGTCAAAGCCTGTGGGAAATGCTACGCACCTGGACGGCTTTCTTCAATATTCTGCCAGCACCCTCCTGTCTGCAGCAGGGAGGCTAGCCGCGGTCTCCCTCGCTTTCTCTCCCACTTCCTCCAGTCTCTCCCAAGAACATGAGCACCACAGTGTGCTTGCCTCCCTAAACAATCTTCACACCGAAGGCTGTCTGTGGGCTGGGGAACACTGCACTCCCAGGACGCACAGGAGGGCCAGCAGGCTGTGCCCACACCTAACTGCTGTGGGAAGTCCTGCTCTGGCTCTCACCAGTGTGCACACACTAGCTCAGTCAGCGCTCGCTCTGTACCTGTCCAGCCGGTGTACCCAGTGCCATCCCGAGGATCTGCTGACTTTAGGCCTCTTTCCATTTGCTGAAGGAGCTCGCGAATCTTATTGGTTAAGCGCTGTGAGAACTCAGGAGTCAGCTGTAGAAATTAAAGAACAACATTTTTAAAAAGAGTAGAAGTCAATCACATTGACAGACTAATAGCTTCATGATGATATTTTCTATTCATGGAAATTAAATATCATGTAAAACTTAAAGCAGCCTTAAAGGTTTAGGTTTTCCAGAAACCATGCTGGGAGCTCATACTGTTTAAGCCAGCACGTTTATTTTAAAAAGTTACCATGAGCCAGGTGAGGGCAGCGCGTGCCTGCAAGCTCAGCATCTGGTAGGCTGATGCAGGAGGCCAGCTACTTTGAGACCAGCCAAGGCTACACAATCAGACCTTGTGTCAAAAGAATAGACCAGGCTGGCCTTGAACTCAGAGATCCCCTTGCCTCTGATGCCCCAGTGCTGGGATTAAAGGTGTGCTCTAAAGGTAGAAATCATTTTCTTAAATATAAAGCTAAAGACACCCACTGGATCTCAGCTGCTGGATTCCAAACTGTGACGATGTTAATCTCCTTAGAAAATACTCTATTTGTTTGTTACTTTTAAGGATGGACAAAGCAGCACTTTAAAAAGCAAAACAAGTCCGTGATGATCAGGAACCTCAAGCACAAAGGACATCAAGCCTGGAATGAGACCCTCAACCAGCACAGTGTGCGGCAGGAGGCCTGGCTGTGTCCTCCTATTACTGGCTGATTGCCCTTGCTCAGCCCTAACTTCCTACTGCAGCCACCTTCCTGGAGTTGGAGAGTTTAACACCTGCCCCATGCATCCTTACAGGCCACCCACTCTGTGCCAAGGGTGTACTCTGATGCTGGAGTGCCGGGGTTAGTGACGCCAAATGAGGGCCTACAGACTGATGGGCAACCTGAGGTTCACAAGTCATATCCCTAAAGGTATATTCTTTTTCATTTTTTTCAGATTGACTTTTATTATATATGATGGGTTTGTGACAGTCTGCCTGTCTGTGAACTATGTGTGTCTGGTGCCTTAGGAGGCCAAAGAAGGTGTTGGATCCCCTGAGACTGGAGTTACAGACAGTTGTGAGCTGCCAAAGGGGTGCTGGGAATAGAACCCAGGTCCTGTGAAGAGCAGCAAGTGCTCTCAATTGTAGGGCCATCTCTTCTGCTTTCTGGAAAAGGCATATTCTTTATGACAGCATCTAGAAAGCATCTTCAAAGTACTGTACACTCTAAGTGACCGAGTGCTTTAAAAAGTCACTTCAATGTGTCAACTATTCAGGAACTTGCTATTGACTTCAGACTGGGATTCCATAAAACCAGTAAAATTTCAGAACAGGGCTGAGGAGCATTACAAGTACAGAAACGAGTTTCATCATGGGCAGACTGTAGTATCAAACCTGAACTGGCCATCAGCAGAGTCTCTCTTTATTAGTCTGGGTGTGTGTACCTGCTCGTGCATGCATGGCAAGCACACGGGGAGAGGGCAGAGGACAACTGCAGGGGTCAGTTCTCCTTCTGCTTGGGTCCTCAGCTTGCCTGGCAGTGCCTTTACCTGCCAAACCACCCCAACGGCCTTACAACCTCATTTTTAAGAGCATCTTGGGTTAGCGAGATGGCTCTGTCAGTAAAGTGCCTGCTTTACAAGCGTGAAAGATTGAGTTTGACCTCTAGAACCAGTATATATAAAAGCAGGGCATGCTGGCATGAGCTTATAGCGGGGTATGCTGGCATGAGCTTATAATCTCAGAGCTGGGGAGGAGGAAACAGGCTGATTCCTGGGAATCACTGGACAGCCAGTCCTGGCCTACTTGGTAAGCTCCATGCCAGAGAGGTCCTATCTCAAAACAAACAAACAAACAAACAAACAAAACAAATAAACAAAAGATAGCACACAGGGAGCAACAAACATTACCCTCTAACCCACACATGTGCATGCCTCCTTGCACACACATGGACATGGAAAGAGCCATTTAAGGTTGTAAGAAGGCAGTGTCAGAAGTACTAGTACTAATAATATTCAAAGATTCACCTTTGTGGAGCATCTCTGAAAAGGTTTGTGGCCAGCGCAGTGAAAAGCACCACTAAGAATCCGCAGCTTGACAGACACTTGCCTGTTATTTAACAATCTCTGCCAAAAGGTTAGGTCTTCAACAAGACTTGAGACACATTTAGTAAGACATAATGGACTTTAGTATCAATATGAAGAGGTCTATAAGTCTCAGAGGTTGAGGAGTAGCTTGACATGACCATACCCATCTTCTGAACAGAGACCATGTGTAATTCATGGTCCTAGTCGGCCTGACATTAGGAGGCTATAGTGAGAACACCTTGGTCTCAGGACAGGAGTCATTTTCTACTGGGCACACAACATTTTAAAAGGTGACCTGCCTGAAAATACTGTGGCCAACATCCCATCACTGAAATTGAAAATGTGAAGAGTCCCTGCAGATGCCAGGAAGCTCCTCCCACATCCTTGTGTTGACAGGAGGCAGTCAATGGTTTGGCTCTATGGTTTGGCCTTTTGGGTTCAACGTTAAAGGACTTTAAAAACATGGATGCAACTTCCTTTGTAGGATCCCCAAACTATGTTCTACCATGTGCCACCTTGTTATTCAGGCTTAGAGTTTGGATTTGTGTCTTTTGTGACATATCCCTTTAATCCCAGTACTTAGGAGATAAAGAAAGATGGACTTTGGTGAGTTTGAGGCCATTCTGGACTTCATAATGAGTTCCAGGCCAGAGCTACATAGTGAGACACTTCAAGAAATGAATGAACCAATCAGTGTTGAGAGTCGGATGTGGTGGCTCACACCTATTAAAGGCTAGCCAGACTGAGCTACAAAGTGAGTTTTAGCTTAGCATTCAAAAATTCAAAGCAAACAGGCTGAGATGCTGTATCAGCGCACCAAAGCATTTGCTATGAAAGCCTGACTCGGCATTTGATTTCAGAACATATAAAAAGCTGAATGTGGCAGTATACACCTTAATCCCAGCACTCCTACAGCAAAATGGGGAGCAGGGACAGGAGTCACCCAGAGGCCTGTGGTCCAGCTAGCCTGGAACACACTGCTCAGCAGTACAAGAGTAGACCATGCCTCAACAAGGCAGAAGGCAAGAACTGACTCCTATGATGTCCAAATGGCTGTAACATGTATGGGCCTGCACAACACAATACAATGAGTGGATACATTTCTTCTGAAGCCAAAAAAAAAAAAGTAAAACAAAACCAGAAAAACCCACACAAATTAAATGTATAAGAAGCACTGATTTATGAGCTGCCTAAAGCCTAAAAGTGAAGTTCCATCATCGGGGCACTTTTTCAAGCTCCCTCTGCCAAGTCAGCACACAGCACCAAGTCTTCTTCCAACCAGACAGGCCTAACTCACACCTCAGCTTCTGATCTGCAGAGGGAGGCAGAACACAGGCCCAGATGGCGACAGGTAGGCCACGGAGGCTCCGGACAAATATACACAGCTGTCCCAGCAGGTAATCCAGTCTTTAAATAAGGGACCCCAGCTCCACACACACACTTCGTTCCCTTCCACATGGCACCTCCATCCTTCACCCCTCTACCGAACGAACGACTAAGGTGTGTTTGCAGAGGTGAGGCGACAGAGCCACATAAACCTGACAGATGTGAACCCCATCCGCTGCCCTAACAGCACCTAAAATGTCTCTCTGCGGCGTTGACAAGTTTCAAAGACATAAGCTGGTAAAATTTTTAAAACATTATGGCCACCGGATACAGCGGCCTTACGCTTTTAATCCTAGTGCTTGGGAGGCTGAGGCGGGAGGATAGTGATTTCAAGGCCAGCCTGGGCTATCGCAGAGTTCAGCCTGGGCTACACAGTGAGTGCACACTCTTCAGCTCTCTCTCTCAGGGATCTGCCAAAAGCAGGCATCCCTTCCAACAATCCAACTCGCCAAGGAGGCATGAGAAAACAGGTCCCTGGTGCCACACCCCAGACTCTCCTCTCCAAGCGCCTCTCCATAGGCAAACGAGTGTAAGGACAAATGATTTTTCTAATCTTTGCCGCCCCCCACTCTCAGCTTTAAAGATGGCCTCGAAAAAAACAGTAAAATCACAAATTATTTCAGGCCCGTCGGTCACATTGCTCTCAGCACCAACGCTAGAAAGACGAACTCCCCACAGGCCCGTGTGCTCTCATTACGCTGTCCAGACTTGCGCACGCTCACTAGGGAATAACGTGGCCCGGGTGAATATATACAGCCAGGTCCCTCACCTCCCTTCGAGGACAATTTTTATAACTGACATTCTGAATACCTGAGGCTAAACTCCCACTATTAACGAGGTTGACAGTGGTTTTTTTTTTTTTTTTTTTATTTTTTTTTTTTTTTTTTATTCCCTACCCATCACGATAAGGCTCGGCACATCCTGCCTTAGACGCTTATGTAAGTCCGCTCCAATCACACATCTTTGGCAAGGGATGGATGAGCGCCCCCCCCCTCGCCCCCATCTTCCAGGCACGAGTGTGGTCGTCCGGAGCTCCCACCTTCCCCCGCCGGGGGTAGGGTGGGGTGGGGAAAGGGGGGAGTAGGAGGCGCTGCAGGCCAGCCTCAACTCACCCTCCCCGTGGAATCAAAGTAGCACTCGGCCAGGGACTTGTTATAGTCGGCGTAAGGGTTCGGGAAGGCCCGCTGAGCCATGACGACGCCGCCCGCGAACCTGCAGAACAGGGGAAAAGAGAGAGCTCGCAAGGGGCGCCGGGGCTCCGGGCTGGGACGCCAACGCGACGGCGGGACAGCGGCTCGGCACGCTCGCGGGACGGCGGCTCGGAGCCCCGCGGGAGCGAGGGGGAGGCCCGTTTTCCACCCACGTCCCACGCCCACGAGTCGGCCGGGTGCAACACGGCGACCACGGGGCTCGCACGCCGCCTCTCCGGAGCGCCGGCCTCGCAAGCGTCCCGGACCGCGCCGACAATAACAGACGCGGCGCGTTCCCCCGCCCCCTTCCTGTAGGCCCGGCCAATCAGCGGGCACGCTGAGGCGGAGGCCCGCCTCCCGGCTTCGGAGTCTTAAAGGCGCCGCGTGCTTGCGGAAGCTCTGGGGAGGCACCTTTCACTCCCCTGGGGCCCCCGCCGCGTTTCCTACCCTCCTTTGTAAACGCGTTGTGAAAGACAGCCAGTTCAGTTCCAGATCCCAGGAGTTGGAAGCTTGCAGGAAGGAAAGGGTCGCTTTCAAACCTCAACGCCCTAGCCTTAACTACACCTGAAAGTGGGGCACTCTGTCTGCAGACACCTGATGCACCTTTTTTAAATTGCATGTCTAAAAGGAGGAAAAAAGGAAACACAGAAAGAAGGGACAATGGAAGGAACAACGATAAAAACAACAAACCACAAGGCCAACACCATCACTACAAAACCAAGATGTTTTAGTTAAATACTTTGGGGACACTTTTTTCTTCAAGACATTGTAAAGGCACCAACCAACGGACAAGTCACAAAAACATCAGGGAATTTATGCAAAAACTCAAATCTCTGCTCTTAGGACACTGAGCCAGCTCTTTAGCCTAAATTAGACTCTAATATTTTTGAAGCCTTATAAAAAATAATGAAGGACAAAGAATGGAGAGCCATCTCCATGCTTAACACTCTCTGTGGTGGAAAAGTTTTTTTGTTTGAAATTAAATCCTACTGGGGGACACATTAGACCCTCTCTGTTCAAAGAATGTGGGAATCCAGTTCTATTATCTGTCCGGGCAGGAGAGATGTCTGGCGGCTAAGAGCTCTTGCTGCTCTTGAGGAGGACTAGAGTTTGATTCCCAGCACCCATATTGGGCTGCCTATTGTGGTTGGTTGTTTTTGCTCTTTTGTTCTTTTAGGACCTGCCACCTAGCTCCCAAATAAGTCACACATATGGAGGCTTATTCTTAATTATAAATACTTGGCCTTGGCTTGGCTTGTTTCTAGGCAGCTTTTCTTAACTTAAATTGTCCCATCTAGCTTTGCCTCTGGGCTTTTATCTTTCTCGATTTCTGTATGCCTTTTCTTTTCTTTTTACTTCGTATCTGTCTGTGTAGCTGGGTGGCTGGCCCCTGGAGTCTTCCTCTCCTTGTTCTCTTGCTCCTTCTTCTCCTCCTCCCAGATTTCTCCTATTTATTCTCTCTGCTGGCCAGCCCCGGCTATCCTTTCTTCTGCCTTACTATGGGCCATTCAGCTCCTTATTAGACCATCAGGTGTTTTAGACAGGCACAGTAACACAGCTTCACAGAGTTAAACAAATGCAACATAAAAGAATGCAACACATCTTTGCATCTTTAAACAAATGTTCCACAGCATAAACAAATGTGGCACACCTTAAAAGCCTACAATCAACAGAACTCCAGGAGATTCAGTGCCCTCTTTTGGCCTAAATTGATACCTATACACAAGTGCACTCCCCCCGTCCCACCCCCTCCCTCCCCACATGGCCAGAGGGGAAGCAAAAAATAAAAAAAAAAACATAAAATGTCGATTCTTTCCCCTCTCTCTTGATTAATGGGCACAAACCTCAGGCCTCTCACTGTTCATGAACTTCCTCTTCTTCAGGTTGTCCCCAGTTCTTCCCTGTGAAGTTGCCACCCCAAACTCTGCCTTAGACTTACTTAAAGGTTTCAGGGGTTTTTTTTTTCTTCTTATAACTTTTGATCTCTCAGAAAATTCATTAGCTCAGTTCCCTCAGAACATTCATGAAGAGTTAGTGAAGGTCCTTAGCGAACATTAAGCTGAAAATATGGAGGTTTAGAGGAGCATGCCTAAGAGAGGAAAGGAAGAGGAGATTGAACATTTTATCAGCTCTTCTTTCTGTAGTTATTGCAAGTTCAGCGTCAAGATATCCCACCACAGTCTTTACATGAGCGATTGAAAGTCCAGCAACATTTAAATACACTAACAGTTTACAGAAGGTGTTACAATTTAAAAACGGTGGGAAGGAGTCACACCATATAACGGGGCCCACATGGAAGGTTTATTGAGGGGAGGGGAGAGAAGGGACAGAGAAGTGGATAGAGACCAGTCCCAGATACCTGGGGACTAGAATGAAGAAAGAGAAAAAGACAGGAGGTGGGCAAGACCTGCCTTTTATAAGGAAATGTAGTGAATGCGCACAGGTGGTGCTCTTAGTGGCTACAGCTGAAGGTATATCCTGTCAGGACCCTAAGGGCAGGCCAGTACAGATGCCTAAATGCTACTAGAAGGAACGTTGCATGATAGTCGAACATTTAGCATGAAACAATGTTTGACAAGGTGACTGTGGACAGAAAGATAGGAGTAGGGCATGGATGGAGGAAGTTTGAAAATCTGAAAGGGGAGTGTTGGTGGCTGAAAGAAGCATGTGCCAGGTGGACAGCAGTACAATGAGATGCTCAGTTCCAGTCAGCACTGCGGACACTGGGAACAGAGGCACTCCTGTAGGGAAGCCAGAGGCGGTTGTGGCGTCCTTTGTCACCCTGCCTTGTTTCACTGAGACAGAGTGTCTCACTGAGCCCAGAGATTGCTGTTTTTCTTTTTGGCTACAGTCAGCTCAATCCCAGAGAGTCTCCTGTGTCCACCAACCCCAAAGCTGGGATCGTGGATTTGTACATTTGGTTTTTATGTGGGTGCTAGGGATCTGAATTCACACCTTCATGTGTGTTCAGTAAGCACTCTTACCCCTGAAGATATCTCTCCAGGCCTAGGCACATGCTCCTCCTCCCCCTCCTCCTCTTCCTCTTATTATTATTATTATAGATTAGGTATACGCATTCTATATATACCAGAAGTCAACTTCTGGATCATAGGAAATTCTCAAAATTAATTTCCCCAATACTGCTAGATTGCTTTCTAGAACCACTGGATTAGTTTATCTTGCTTCTGTTTGGACCTATCAGTTTCTGTCATCCTTACTTGTCTGGCACTGATTGTCTAATAGTCTAAGTTGACCATGTTAGTCTACATCGTCTGTGTCCTGTCTCCCACAAGGACCCCGTCATTTGTTAATTTTCATTACCGATTTAAAGACGGTCTCCAACTGTAGTCATGCTGACATATCTGGAGTTAGAACAGCCCTGTGTGAGCTTGGGGCCTGAAATCCCACCCATCATAGTCCCTATATGTTCACCTGTAGTACTTATGGTGGCTGAACACATTTGTGCCTGACACGGGTTTGATTGACAGAATTTCTCAAGGACTTTCCACTTCTAATAAATTAGGAGTGATTTTTTTTAAGTGTGTCTATTTTATAATATTCCATCTCTTAAATTTGTAAAGCTGTCTTTTACAAACTCTCAGAAAATATCCATTGCACCATTGCCTTTAAAATGGGGGATACTTCCAGAAATTTGGGAAGATTGCTATCAAGTCGAGAAAGCCAGGATCATCTGAGGGTTTGCTACTTCTATCCTCAGACCTCAAATCTCCACAAACCACGGCAGGGACGAGGGTGAAAGCGAGGTCACAGCTGGGAAGGGGCTTCAAGCACATCTCTTAGTTTAGGTTGGCTTCATTCCGTGTCACCATTCAGGATTGTAGATGTCTTCCACTTCAGTGTGTTACCCTTCTCACACTGTCCATGGTGGTCAGAGGTACACCTGTGTTCCTGCCTGAGGGGAGGTCCGGCATGCACAGGCTAGCAGTGGAATCTATCACCCCCCTCATGTCTCCACTGGTAAGCATTAAGCCTCATGGCTGTGACTGGCTGCCCAGGGAGCTATGAAAGGAGGTCATCTTTTGACCCACTCTGTGTCTAGCTTTGATGTACAAAGGAGATGCTTGGTTTGGTGGGTAGTGGTCTCTTATGCACAGTGGAAGTGTTGATAACTGATAGTACCTATCTGCTAGCAGAGGGCAGCACAGTTTTGTTTCTGTGCTCCCCCCCCACCACCACACCCACCACCTCTGTTCTTGTTGACGGCACTGTGGCTGCCTATGGTGCATCTCCTTGAATTTCGTTAGTTATATCATTGATCTATGGGAGGAGATAGACCACGAGACTCTACATTATGTCCTCTTTTAGAAACATCTCTACAACACACACACACATACACACACACACACAAACACACACAGCCAATGGCTTTTATTTATTCCTCAACTTCTACCTGATTTTATCTTATTTTAAGAGTAGTCTATTTTCTTTCCAGATCAAAAAACTATAAATTAGCAATTATCTAAGTCTGACTTTACTATCATTGTACTGTTGGTTTAACATTCAGTTGGGGCTATGAACAACTGAAGCAACTTCCTGATTTTCCCATCGTACTGACCCCACTGATTGGAAGTGCTATTGGCAGCAGAGGAAACAGGCATGTAAACAGATGTTCACCAAGCACACCGTGGGATACTTTTAATTTCCTGGAGATGATGTTTCCAAAGTATAGACAACACTGCCTCCCTGCCTGATCAGGACTGTTATCAGTGTGCTGACAGGTTTCTTTGTACCTATAACTGCTGGGCAAGAGCTCCTGTTATATGAAACACAGGAATGCTGGGCTTCTTTGGGAGATTAAAAAGACTGTGAGTATAGAAAGTTGGTCGAAGATGTTCAAACATTTAGACAGTTTTCTCCATTTCCTATTAACCCTTTAGAAGGGATCTTGATCAACCCCACAGCTCATGTCTTTAGGAGCAAGAAGAGAGAGGCTTTCCCATCTGTTGTTGAGAATGCATTGGTGAAATTATTAAGGCCACTTCACATAGTTAAAAGGGAGATTTATTTAATGGCGTAACTTACAAATGAAGGGATAGTAGATTGCGGGTTCTGGGGAAGAGGCACAGCAGTCCGGCGGTGTTCTCTGGAGAACTCTCCTTGGTCTACCTCTAGCTTCCAGGGTACAGGAAACAGAGTGGCACATCCGGATCTCGGGTCCTCTCTTGGCCCCTACCTCGTAGGGGTGATAGTTACCGAAGCCTCAATGGGGGTTGGAACTTCCAGATCAAGCTTCCAGATCTTGTAGTGGG